CAAAACCAAAAAGCACGTGGACAAAGTTGCATATCTGAAAGAAAGGGGAATGTGCTTTGGTTGTTTGCAGCAAGGACATATAAGTAAATTTTGCAGACAAAAACAAAAAGCTGCATCCTACTGTTCTCCATATGTCTCAAAATGACAAAACTGAAAATGTGAAAGTAATGACTTCAGGGACAGGTGAAGTAAACATGGGTGACGCCCGGCCAGGTGTAATCCACCCTAAAGCATGTGGGCATATTGGGGCCGGTACTGAAACAAGCAATGTGCTTTCAGTAGTCCCAGTCAAAGTTAAAGCCATTAAGGGCAGTAAAGTAATGGAGGTTTATGCTTTTATTGACCCCGGCAGCACTGACACCTTCTGTGTCAGTTGGGACTAAAAGGACGAAGAGCACAAATATTGTTAAAAACCATGGGCAATGAAAAACTTGTACCAACCAATATAGTACCAGGCTTGGAGGTTGGACAGGTTTTTACCCCTCCCAGACTTGTACACTCAAAAGGAAATGCCTGTTACTACGGACAATATACCAAAAAGGCAGGACCTAGAAAGGGGGTCTTATCTACAAAGTATTGATATCCCTAAAATCAATAGTAACATTGAGCTGCTCATAGGAACCAACGCTTCCAAAGTCATTGAACCCTGGGAAATAATAAATAGCCAGGGAGGTGGTCCTTATGCAGTACGAACATTAGTGGGCTGGGTTATCAATGGCCCTTTAAGAGAAGGCCCAAGCGACTGTGACCACTCTTCTGTAACAGTGAACCGAATAACTGTTGAAAGCCTAGAAAAACTGCTGATTAGTCATTACAATGTGGACTTTAATGAAAATGCAGCAGACGAAAAAAGAGAGCTGTCAGTTGAGGACAAAAAATTCCTGGAAAGAATGGACAGCTCAGTTATATTAACAGATGAACATTATATTCTTGACTTGCCTTTCAGAGACAAAGCGGAAATGCCCAACAACAGGCAAGTAGCTGTTCAACGACTTCAAAGCCTGAAAAGAAAGTTTAAGAAAAGCCACTCATTTCACAGGGAATATACAGACTTTGTGAACAATGTTTTAACCGAGGGATATGCTGAAGTAATTCCTCAAGAAAAAGTTGAAAAAAGAAAAACATGGTACATTCCTCATCATGGAGTCTACCACCCCAGGAAGAACACCCTGAGAGTTGTGTTTGACTGTGGGGCTGAGTATCAGGGGGTCTCACTAAACTCTCAGTTACTCCAAGGCCCAGATCTCACCAACTCCTTAATTGGAGTGCTGCTCAGGTTCAGACATGAGCCTGTAGCTCTAATGGCAGACATCAAGTCGATGTTCTATCAGGTGAGAGTGTCACAGACTCACACAGATTTTTTGAGGTTTTTATGGTGGCCTAATGGGGACTATGAAAAAGAACCCCTAGACCATCGTATGCTTGTACACATATTTGGTGCAGTTTCCTCACCAAGCTGTGCCAGCTACGCCCTGAGGAAAACTGCCCAAGACAACTCAAACTTCAGTCCGCAGGTAACCGGTACAGTCCTGAATCATTTTTATGTTGATGATTGCCTGACCTCTGCCCCTACAGAACAGGACGCTATCCAGCTAATTTCTGAACTGGTGAAATTGTGCGCAAAAGGAGGCTTCCACCTCACAAAGTGGGTGAGTAACAGCCGCGCAGTGCTGTGCAGCATCAAGGAGGAGGCAAGAGGAAAGGACATCAGATCTCTGGATCTAACAAAGGACCAACTGCCTACTGATCGTGCATTGGGACTGCAATGGAGAGTGGAGGACGACACCTTCAGGTTTGACATAAAGGTCACAGAAAAGCCATTGACCAGGAGAGGGATCCTCTCCATGGTAAGCTCTGTGTACGATCCTCTAGGGATGCTGGCACCAGTCACACTGCCAGCAAAACAACTTCTACAGCAATTGTGTAAATCAGGCTATGGGTGGGACGAGGAATTGCCCCCTGAGGTGACGCTACAATGGACAAAATGGGTGCAAGACATAACAAAGTTGTCACAATTTAGTGTTCCTCGTTGTATGAAGCCCAACAGTTTTGGAAAACTCATCTCGTGTCAGTTGCATCATTTTTCAGATGCTTCGGAGTCTGGCTATGGCTCTGTAAGTTATCTTTGTATGGTGGACGATAAAGGACAAAGACATGTTGCTTTTATGATGGGTAAAGCAAGAGTAGCCCCTTTAAAGCAAATGACGATACCGCGGCTCGAGCTCACAGCAGCAGTCATAAGTGTCAAAGTGGACAAGCTTTTAAGATCAGAGCTAATGGTAAAATTTGAAAAATCTATATTTTGGACCGATAGTCAAGCTGTCCTTAAATACATTGCAAACGAGACTACAAGATTTCTAACGTTTGTTGCCAACAGAACATCTATGATCAGAGACAATACGACTGTTGAGCAATGGCGGTACATTGAAAGTAAACAAAATCCTGCTGACGAGGCTTCCAGAGGACAAAGTGTGGTTAAATTCAACGAAAATGAAAGATGGCTTCTGGGCCCTGCGTTTCTGACGGAGCGAGAATGTTTTTGGCCAAATCACACAGTGACATATGTACTATCACAAGATGACCCAGAAGTTAAAAAACATGCGGCGGTGTACAACATTAGTGTGCAAGATGGTGCTACTGCAACTCATAAACTTCTGCAATTCTTCTCAGATTGGACCAAGTTGTTAAAAGCAGTTGCCTGGTATCAAAAGTTTGGAGACTACCTGCTGGCCCTGGCTGCGAAAAGGAAACAAGCTGTGGGACAGGTAAAAACCAGATCCACCACACATAAGCTGTATTCCCAACTTCCAGCAGTCAAGGGTCAATACCTGTCCATTCAGGATCTGGGCAGGGCAGAGAAATCCATCGTATCCTTCTCTCAAAGGCATGCTTTTCCAACAGAACTTCAAAAGCTTGGTACAGGTGGTGAAATTCACAAGAGAAGCACCATTTATAGGCTTGATCCTATTCTAGCAGATGGACTGCTTAAAGTGAGGGGAAGACTGTCAAAAGCAACAGTTTCGGAGGATGTTAAATATCCCATTATACTCCCCAAAAGCTGTCACATCTCATGTTTATTGCTGAGACACATACACACAAAGTATGGACACTGTGGCAGAAACTATGTTCTATCTCAGTTACGTAAAAGGTATTGGGTCGTAAATGCCAATACTGCTGCCCGAAATATCATTGCAAAATGTGTCCAGTGCAGACGGCTTAAAGGCAAAGCAGGAGAACAAAAAATGGCGGATTTGCCACAAGAACGAACTCTACCAGACCTCCCTCCTTTTACTAATGTTGGCATGGACTACTTTGGCCCAATAGAGACAAAAAGAGGGAGAAGTTTAGTCAAACGTTACGGCGTGCTCTTCACATGTCTTTCATGTAGAGCTATACACATTGAAATGGCCTGTTCCCTCGATACAGACTCTTGTATTCATGCAATTAGGAGATTTATATGTAGACGAGGGCAGGCTAAAAAGATATGGTCAGACAACGGCACCAACTTAGTGGGTGCAAACAAGGAACTGAAGAAGGCCTTGTCCCACTTAAATGGCAGAAAAATTCAAAAAACCCTTATCAATGAGGGGATTAATTGGGCATTTAACCCACCAGGAGCTTCTCACCACGGTGGAGTGTGGGAAAGATTAATTAGGTCAGCAAGGTGGGTGTTAAATAGTCTCCTACACCAGCAAACTGTTGATGATGAGGGCCTCCAAACTTTATTCTGTGAAGTGGAGGCCATACTTAACAGCCGTCCCATCACCACAGCTTCATCTGACCCATTTGATCTTGAGCCTCTAACCCCCAACCACCTACTGTTGCTGAATTCTCAGCCCATTCTCCCTCCCGGAGAATTCTCCAATACTGACTCGTACACCAGGCGCCGGTGGAAGCAAGTACAGTACTTGGCTGATGTATTCTGGAGGAGATGGACACAAGAATATCTCACAACTATGCAACAAAGACAGAAGTGGTTCAAGGTAAAGAGAAATTTCAACGTTGGAGACATAGTTGTAATTGTGGACCCCTCCTCACCACGAGCCTCATGGCCTCTAGCAAAAATATTGGAAACGAGGCCCGACTCCAAAGGACTGGTGAGGTCAGTAAAACTAAAAACAAGGACCGGAACCCTGGAAAGACCGGTCACAAAGATCTGCCTTCTTGTGGAAGAAGATTAAAGAAGAAAACAACACACTTGTTATATTTTGTTTTGGGCTCCTTAATAAAAATGGAGGAAAATGTTTATTTTATTTTGGAAATATAACATTTGGGGCCGGAAATGTAGGAGCCAAAATGTAGTTAAGATACTTTGTACAGCCCCCATTGACGCTTTTGTCGCCATCTAGTGGACGCACTGGGGTAGGGCTACATAAGGTGTGCAGTATCACCTGGAGGTGTGGCTGCAGTAGGAAGAGACAGTCTTTGACCTCACTCACTCTCTCACTCTGTCTCACATCTGCCTTTCATTTTGATTTTGGTACAATTGGAAGTACATTTTTTGTTTGTAAAATAAATATATTTTCATTATTCAAGAATCTTTTTCGTGGACATTTCTTATTTTTTATGTGGAGCGTCAGACCCTTTTTGCTCAGTCACCACAAAGAAAGGATTTTTTCTGACTCTACACAATCATTAAATTCCATAAAGGCAAAGTATCCGGGCTCCACTTCGTATCTGTCATCGTTGGACATCTTCTGTGTTATTATAATGTGTTTTACGCTCTTTGCTGCTCACATTAATTGCCTCTGGTGGGATGAATAAATAAAGCAGTGTGAATCTATTGCTACGTGGCGACGCTAACAAAACATTAGCATCCCAGCGAAGCGCCCGGACCCCAGAGAGTCCCACTGTGTTGAATGTAAAGCAGCTCCAAAGCCTCTCTGTGACTCCGAAGACAAATAACCCTCGGATCTGATCCGTGTTTCGTGGCGTTTGATGAAGCGACAACAAGAAAGAGTGGAGTAGTTCTGCAAAGATTCCATCGAGACTTATCTCCAATGTACCGTCGCTGTCAGAGTGTAGTGTACGCTGTAGCGATGTGTGTGTCTGTGGCTCAGAGTGTAGTGTACGCTGTAGCAATGTGTGTGTCTGTGGCTCAGAGTGTAGTGTACGCTGTAGCGATGTGTGTGTCTGTGGCTCAGAGTGTAGTGTACGCTGTAGCGATGTGTGTGTCTGTGGCTCAGAGTGTAGTGTACGCTGTAGCAATGTGTGCGTCTGTGGCTCAGAGTGTAGTGTACGCTGTAGCGATGTGTGTGTCTGTGGCTCAGAGTGTAGTGTACGCTGTAGCTATGTGTGCGTCTGTGGCTCAGAGTGTAGTGTACGCTGTAGCGATGTGTGCGTCTGTGGCTCAGGCTAGAGTGTAGTGTACGCTGTAGCAATGTGTGTGTCTGTGGCTCAGAGTGTAGTGTACGCTGTAGCGATGTGTGTGTCTGTGGCTCAGAGTGTAGTGTACGCTGTAGCGATGTGTGTGTCTGTGGCTCAGAGTGTAGTGTACGCTGTAGCGATGTGTGTGTCTGTGGCTCAGAGTGTAGTGTACGCTGTAGCGATGTGTGTGTCTGTGGCTCAGAGTGTAGTGTACGCTGTAGCGATGTGTGTGTCTGTGGCTCAGAGTGTAGTGTACACTGTAGCGATGTGTGTGTCTCTGGTAGAGAGTGTAGTGTACGCTGTAGCGATGTGTGTGTCTGTGGCTCAGAGTGTAGTGTACGCTGTAGCGATGTGTGTGTCTGTGGCTCAGAGTGTAGTGTACGCTGTAGCAATGTGTGTGTCTGTGGCTAGTTAGTTAGTTAGTTATTTATTTAAAAGGACAACGGACAGGTACATTAAAAAGATGGCTGCCCCAGATTTAGCACAATGCTAATTTCCATCTGTAGTCCTTATACAATCAAAAATACAATTAAAATACATAGCAGAGTTAATTACAATACAAAACATAGACAATAAACATGCAATATATAGTAAAAGTGCAGATGAAAAGTGCCAGTTGCGTTCATAAAGTGCAGAATGATAAAGTGCAACAGTTTTCATAATTATTTAGTAGCTATACATACTTAGCACATAGATACAATAGTTTTTAACACTAATAATGTGGTGATGTGGTGGCCATCAGACGATACCCGCGAGGGTAACACCTGATGGCCAAGTATCCATCTGGTACTTTTAGTGCGAGCAGGACTGTTGATCTAAAAGCCAGTCTTTAACTGCCCGTGAAAAACTGTGGAAATCTGCATTGTTCTTTAGATTGTCTGGGAGCCCATTCCATTCTTTAGTGGCTTTGTAGGAAAAGGCTGATTGAGAGAAGGCAGACTTTCTCTTAGGAACATTGCAGTCACCCCTGGACACAGATCTTAATGCTCTGTTGGTTAGCTGTGAGCGAAGCTGTACATATGTTTTTAGGGGGGGTGGGGCAGTATCATTAAGAATCTTATGAACCAAGCGTACATCGGAATACCTAATCAGATTGTCAAAGCTTAGTATGCTGTATTTTTCAAGTATATTGCAGTGATGGTACCGGCGAGGCTTTTTATCCAGGACTTTCAAAGCCTGGTTATACAACGATCTAAGGGGGTTTAAAACCGTTGTTTTAGCTTGAGACCATGAAGACACACAATACATGATATGAGATATAATCATTGCATTAAGATATGATTTAGCCGCTTCCAATGACAAAGAGCTCCTGATGTGCTGGAAGTTGGCGATGTTAAATTTCAGAACGCGGCAAACCTTTTTAACATGGTTTTTAAAATTAAGGGTAGGATTCAGCACTACACCTAGGTACTTGATTTCTTGGACATTTTTGATCATCAAACCATCCACATAGATATTTGGAAGAACACTCTTTCTTTTGTTGGAAAAATACATAGTAACAGTTTTTTCTGAATTCAGCACAAGGCTCGACTTGTTCAACCACTCTTTTACTTTATTCATAGCTATAGATAATTTATCTGCGACAAGATTTGCATCAGAGCTGTGAGTAAATAGAACCGTGTCATCAGCGTACATCAAGACCTCCACATCATCACAGATGGAAGGTAGGTCATTGATGTACAAAGAGAAAAGCAATGGCCCCAAGATAGACCCCTGTGGTACACCAGTAGTGCAGGGGCTAAAAGGTGAGATCTTATCATTTATTTTTACGCACTGAAAACGATCTGCAAGGTAAGATTGAAACCAACTAATAGTGTTTGCTGAAAGATTAAAATTCAACAGTTTTGTTAGCAGCACTGAGTGGTTAACTGTGTCGAAAGCCTTACGCAGATCCAGAAAAATGGCCCCAACCACCCCTCCTTTGTCTAGATTGGACTTAATCACCTCAAGAAGATAACAACAGGCTGTATCGGTGGAATGTTTTGATCGGAAGCCAAATTGCATGGGGTGTAACATATTTCTATTGTCAAGGTGTTCCACCAGCTGTTCCGCAACAATTTTTTCGATAACTTTTGAGACAGTAGGAAGTATACTAATTGGTCTATAGTTTATCAATTCCTTTTTGTTACCTGCCTTAAAAATGGGCGTAACAACTGCAAATTTACAAGAGGAGGGGAACACACATTCTCTTAGTGATTGGTTCATTATGTACGTGATTGGACCAGTGAAAACCTCTTTATGTTTTTTTAGAAGGAGTGAATCAAATCCCCAACAATCTTTGGCTCTCGAATTTGAAAGTGAGGAAATTATTTTATTAACCTCGCCTTCGCTCACAGATTCAAAGTCTAGAGCTTCCACAGAAATGGATTGTAGTCCATCTGTGGGCCGCGTCGCCACAGCCCTAATAGAGGCTGCAGATGATGTTAAATGCAACTCCGTACTTGAGGATTTACGCAATTCCAAGATTGAAGAGATAAAATAGTCGTTGAACATGTTTGCGATAGTTGAGCTGTCCTTTGTGGTGACTTGTGTTACAGGTGTGAGTGTTCCAGTATTACAAGGGTTAATGTTAAGTTCAATAGGTCCATTTCCAGTCCGCTCTTTCCCAGAGAGACTGTCTATGCACTTCCATATAATTTTGCTATTACCCTTGGCTTGTTTAATAATGTCCAAAAAGAAGTCCGCTTTTGCTCTTCTAAGCTGTCCAGTTACTTTGTTTCTGAGGCTTTTAAAGATCATTCGGTCAGTTCTCAAATTTGACTTGAGATACTTTTTTAGGGAAGCATCTCTATCCTTCATTAGGACCCATAGCCGCTCATTGAACCACGGTAATTTTTTTTTACTTTTAAATCTTCGTGGCTCTGTTTTTGTAAATTTTAGAAGAATTTGAGAGATTGCATTTTTAAGAGTGCTACAAGCCTGCTCGACATCCTGGCCAAAAACTAAATTATTTTGCATAGTAGTTTCAATTTCAGCATCTAAAAGCTCCATATCACGCTTTGAAATAACTGATACATAGGACCCTTCTTTATTTTGGTTTCTATAACGATATTTAGAGAGTTTCCTTGAAACTAGAGTGAGATTATGGTCCGATAAACCAGTTATTAAATTATACGTTTTATTAACCCTTTCCGCCCTGTTAGTGAAAATCAAATCCAGCAAGGTTTTTGAGGAGCTAGTCATTCTGGTTGGATTCTTAATCATTTGAGTGAAATTAAACTGTTTAGCAAGGTGTCTTAGCTTATTGGACCGCGTTTTATCTACCCAATTTAGGTTGAAATCACCCATTACGATGGTTTCCTTGTTGCTACATGCTTTTAATATGTCTTTAAACATGTCAAAAAATACATCCTTCTCATTAGGTGGCCTATACACGACAACCAAGTTAAAAGACATTTCGGGGGATAAACAGATTGTAACTCCCACACACTCCAGATCATTCTGGGGAAGATTTATCTGTTTACATTCGATAGTCTTTTTAACATACAACATCACCCCACCTCCTTTTTTATGTGGTCGATCTTTCCTAAATATGTTGTAGTTCTGCATGGTATAGGTGCCTGCTGGGGAATGTTTTTTTAACCATGTTTCTGAGAGCCCCAAATAATCCAAGTTAGAGTCATACAATAATTTCTGAAGTTGATCTGTTTTAGATGGGAGACTCCTGATATTAAGGTGACCACCAAAAATCCCCTTTGGTTTAACATCAGGGTCCCAGATAACTTTAGCATGGTTCACAGTTTGTAAAAGTTTTGTCTGCTGCTGTCTGTATGTTACCTTAGAGTTCGTAGGTTTTGATTATTAATATTTTTTTGTGATCGTGGTTCTGAGACTATCCCATGGTCCGTTGCTGGCGATGTTAGCTCCGTTACCTCCGTTACCGGCTCCGTTGCAAGCTCCCCCGCTGGCTCCGATGTTGGCCCCGCTGCTAGCTCCGCCAATAGCCCGCTGCCCGTAGCTTGTGGCTCAGATGCTAACATGCAGTCCACCGCTGACGGTGAAAGCTCAAATGCCAACCCACCGCCAGCCGCAGGACGTGGCTTCAAGACGAGCTCAAAGCCCGCAGTCGGATGACATAGCTCCAAAGCCAACTCATGTACCGCTGGTTGCAGCCGTTTCTGCGCTAGCCCGAGCCATCCTGATGTTAGCACTGGCGTCGGCGCTAGCTCATTGGTCTCAGCCCCTAGTCCCTGCGGGCCAGGATTTAGTTCAACGTCCCCTGCCAGTAAAATCAATACCACATAATACAAAAGCGAAGTCCGTACTTTCCATGGCCCGTTTTCTTTCTTATGCACTTTGTGCACTCGTGGATGTCCATAATCCAGGAATTTAGAGTACAGAAGGATTTGGCTGCGAGCTGCTGGTGTGTAAGCTCTTCCATTATCCTTGGGTAGTAACAGGTAGCGGTACAGGCAGGAGAGGACGCAGAGTGTTAGCAGGACAGAGATTGTTACATCTCTCGGCAGATTAAAATCAGATCGCCCATAAAAACATTGGTAAAGTACCGAGCGAGACTGCTGCTGCTGCGACCGCGCTGTGGCAGCCATTGTGAAAATTTTCTTCATTCAGAAAAGCGAGAGATGTGGTCTCTCCCTATCATTTGTTACGGCCCGGCTCGTGAGACCATAACATGAGAGGGAGGACACGACAAACTGAGAAGTTTAAACCCTCTGTGGGGCATTTATTTAAACAATAATAAAGTAATCTGTATGAAATCAGTGTAAGTGAATGGTATGCTGTGGGGTGCAAGGTGTTGTATCTGAAAGTCAGTAGGACAACCGTTGTAGTGCATATATTGTGTTGTAGCGCGTGTAAATGAAAAGACAAACTGGCGTGGCGGCTGGTCCAACAGGGCCCAGAATGGTAGCGGCAGTCCGGGCACGCCGGCAGGTGCCCAGAAGCCAGGTGAGAGAGAGAGAGTGAGGGGAAGCCGCTTTTTGAAGCATCCGGGAGGTCACCTGACTTCCCAGCTGCCTCCCATCATCTCTGAACGTCATATGAACCCTGCCACCACAGGCCCAGCAGAGGGGGCCGTCACACCCCCGCCCTTAAAATGCAGGTTCCCCCAAAGGAACCCTGCAACGAGGCGCCAAAAGAAAGAACGGCCACCAGCGCGTCCTCCAACTCCTCCGTCCCGGTCCACTCCTCCGTCCAGCAACTGGTGCACACAGAAACCTGGATACAAGGAGAGCGAGAAAGAAGAGAGGAACATACAATGGCAACACTATCACAACGGAGCGCGCGACAAAGCGTCAGCTACCACGTTATCGGATCCTTTAATGTAGCGGATGTCCAAGTTATATGATTGTAAAAACAGTGACCAACGGATTAACCGCTGGTTTGGACACTTAAAAGTTGACAAAAACGTGAGCGGATTATGGTCGGTGTGGACCACTGTCTCAACGCTGCCATTCAAGTAGACGTCAAAGTGTTGCAACGCTAGAATTAACGCATAGGTCCCCTTCTCAATCACTGAATAATTCAGCTGATGTTTGTTGAACTTCCTAGAGAAATAACTGACCGGCCGGTCGATACCAAGGTTATCTACTTGCGTAAGGACAGCCCCAGCGCCCACGTGGCTTGCGTCCACGTGGACACTACGCTCAGAGTGTAGTGTACGCTGTAGCGATGTGTGTGTCTGTGGCTCAGAGTGTAGTGTACGCTGTAGCAATGTGTGCGTCTGTGGCTCAGAGTGTAGTGTACGCTGTAGCAATGTGTGTGTCTGTGGCTCAGAGTGTAGTGTACGCTGTAGCAATGTGTGCGTCTGTGGCTCAGAGTGTAGTGTACGCTGTAGCGATGTGTGCGTCTGTGGCTCAGAGTGTAGTGTACGCTGTAGCAATGTGTGTGTCTGTGGCTCAGAGTGTAGTGTACGCTGTAGCGATGTGTGTGTCTGTGGCTCAGAGTGTAGTGTACGCTGTAGCGATGTGTGTGTCTGTGGCTCAGAGTGTAGTGTACGCTGTAGCGATGTGTGTGTCTGTGGCTCAGAGTGTAGTGTACGCTGTAGCGATGTGTGTGTCTGTGGCTCAGAGTGTAGTGTACACTGTAGCGATGTGTGTGTCTCTGGTAGAGTGTAGTGTACGCTGTAGCGATGTGTGTGTCTGTGGCTCAGAGTGTAGTGTACGCTGTAGCGATGTGTGTGTCTGTGGCTCAGAGTGTAGTGTACTACTACTACTACTCCTGCTGGGACTCTGAGGAGCACAGGGACTGGCCTCCTGCTGGGACTCTGAGGAGCACAGGGACTGGACTCCTGCTGGGACTCTGAGGAGCACAGGGACGAGTCTCCTGCTGGTCCCAGAGTCAGGACTAAACAAGGGGAGGCAGCGGTTCAGATTCTCGCTGCTAAAATTTGGAACAGTCTTATTGAACACTTATGAAACAGAGAATATTAATCTCAATGAGGTTCTCCTGGTTAAATAAAGGTTACATAAAAAATGAAAAAATGTGAGACAGGCCTCTTCTTCTTTGACAAAATCCAGGTAAAAAAAAACAGATATTTTTTGCTGCAACAACTGAAGGATTTTATCTTTCTTATCTATCTTTTTAATATTCTGTGGTTATTGAAGCACTTTGAGTTGCCTGTGTATGGTCTGTGCTATACAGATAAACTGTCCTTGCTTCTCTGTCTTGAACATGTCATTTCGCAGCCACGACCGTCACATGTATGTAATGTTTTCTCTGTGATGTTTGTCCATGTGAGAAACCACTGAACTCTGGTGTCTTCATGGACCAATAATTGGATTGTTTGATTTTCTAATCTGCTGTTTGAAGATCGACAATGTTCTTGGAGATAAACGCTGCTGGAATGTTCCGCCGCAAAACAGGAAATAGATTTAATGTTTGAACCAGATCAACATCACACCAGGTGGAACCAGAGAGAGACTGGTGTGTGCTGATGGAAGGGCTGTGGTTATTTAGGCAAGGCAAGGCAAGGCAAGTTTATTTATATAGCACAATTCATACACAAGGCAATTCAAAGTGCTGAACAAAACAAGAAAGCATTAAAATCATAAATTATCACAGAACATTAAAAAGAAAAATAGAAATATAAAATCCCTCAGTTGTATGCACAGTTAAACAGAACTGTCTTTAACCTGGTTTTAAACATTGTCAGAGAGGAGGCCTGTCTCACATCTTCAGGAAGACTGTTCCAGATTTTAGCAGCATGAATCTGAAAAGCAGCCTCCCCATGTTTAGTTCTGACTCTGGGCACTAACAGGAGTCCAGTCCCTGTGCTCCTCAGAGTCCCAGCAGGAGGCCAGTCCCTGTGCTCCTCAGAGTCCCAGCAGGAGGCCAGTCCCTGTGCTCCTCAGAGTCCCTGTGCTCCTCAGAGTCCCAGCAGGAGTCCAGTCCCTGTGCTCCTCAGAGTCCGGGCTGGTTCATATGGGACTAACATGTCACTAATATATTTTGGTGCGAGGCTATGGAGAGACTTGTACACAAGCAGAGCTGTTTTAAAGTCTATTCTCTGAGCCACAGGAAGCCAGTGCAGAGACCTGAGAACTGGACTAATGTGGTCGTACTTCCTGGTTCTAGTCAGGACTCGAGCTGCTGCATTTTGAATGTACTGCAGCTGTTTTACAGCCTGTTTGGACAGACCTGTGAGCAGGCCATTGCAGTAGTCTACCCTACTGGAGACAAATGCATGGATAAGAATCTCCAGGTCTGCTTTAGACACTATGTTTTTGATCCTGGCAATGTTTTTTAGATGGTAAAAAGCTGCTGATGTTATTGATTTGATGTGGCTATTAAAATTTAAGTCTGAGTCCAGTATTACCCCTAGATTTCTGACCTTGTTTGAAGGTTTTAGGGAGAGAGACTGTAGGTGACAGATGACGCTCTCTCTTTGTTTCTGGGGACCAAAGACAATCATTTCAGTTTTGTCTGCGTTTAGCTGAAGGAAGTTGTTTTGCATCCACTCACTGATCTGTTGGATACAGTGAAGGAGTGAGTCCACTGGTCCATGTTCTCCTGCAGTCAGTGAGACATAGATCTGAGTGTCGTCTGCATAGTTATGATAGGAAACTTCGTTTCTGCGTATTAACTGACCTAACGGCAGCATGTAGAGATTGAACAGAAGAGGTCCCAGGATCGACCCCTGTGGGACTCCACAGGTCAGGGCAATATGATCTGAGACACAGTTTCCAATCTCCACAAAGTACTTCCTGTCTTCAAGGTAAGACCTAAACCAACTTAGGGCGGTGCCAGTGACGCCAACCCAGTCCTCTAGTCTCTGTAAGAGGATCTCATGGTCGACGGTGTCAAAGGCAGCACTTAGATCTAACAAGATTAAGATTGAGACTTTGCCTGCGTCAGTGTTCAGCCGGATATCGTTTGTAACCTTAACGAGAGCAGTCTCAGTGCTGTGGTGGGGTCTAAAGCCGGACTGAAACATATCAAATGAGTTGTTGATTATAAGAAATCTAGTAAGCTGTAGGTAGACAACTTTCTCAAGGACTTTCCCCATAAATGGCAGATTTGAGATGGGACGATAGTTGTTAAGTACCGTAGCATCGAGACTGCTCTTTTTTAGCAGGGGCCTGATGACTGCAGTTTTCAGGGCCTTTGGGAATATTCCAGAATGAAGGGACATGTTTACTATCTGTGTGAGTGAAGGTAACAGACTGCTCAGAACAGACTTCAGAAATCTAGTGGGTAGTACATCAAAGTGAGTTAGCTCAGTTGTTGGATGGTTATCTGTAGATTGGAGACAATGGCGTTTTTGATGCATTGAACTTTGTCATAGAAAAAAATTGCAAACTCATTACATTTACGTTTGGAAGTAAGCTCTAATGGCATTTGAACAGGGGGGTTTGTTAATCTATTAACTGTTGAAAACAGAACACGCAGATTGTTGCTGCAGCCTTCAATCATTTCAGAAAAATACCTTTCTCTCGTACTACGTAGCACCCGGTTAAACTCGCACAACTTATCTTTGAATATCTTGTAATCAACCTGGAGGTTGGACTTGCGCCACTTCCGCTCGACCCTCCGGCACTTTCTCTTCAGTGCCCTGACCGAGTCTGCTTTAGCCCACGGCGCCTTCTGCTTATTTTTCACTATTTTAACCTTCACAGGGGCAACGGTATCCAGAACATTCAAAACACTAGAGGTGACAGAGTTAAACAGTTCATCTAAAATCACTTGTAATAACCAAACTATCAAAATCTGTGCATACAACTGAAAGCAACTCGGTAAAATTATCAATAAAACTGTGACATGACTGCGGTGGGTTGTATAGGACAATGAAGAGTATTGGAGGAGATTGTTTTTGTTGTATTTTAAAAGACACATATTCAAATGACGAAAACTTCCCAAGAGACATTCTATGGGAGACAAAGTGGTCTCTAAAAATGGCAGCTAAGCCTCCTCCTTTTTTGTTTTCCCGTATTTCAGATTCAAACTTGAAATTTGGTGGTGATGCTTCTATTAAAACTGCATTTTCTGAATTTTGGTCAAGCCAAGTTTCAGCCATGAACATAAGATCAAGATTATGAGAACAAATAAAATTATTGATTAAAAAAGACTTGTTACAAAGAGATCTGACATTAAGCATAGCAAGTTTCAAAGTTTCAGTATCAGCGGTTGCGGTCGGCTGATTCTTACACGGAACAAGAATTAGATTTTCCAGATTAGACTGATTAACTCCAGATGTCTTTCTGTAATGTATTCTTTGTGTTATCACTAAGGGAATGGCACAGGTGGCTTCATGACAGGGCCCCAGCCGGGTCTCTCCTCTAACTAGACTGCCAGTGGCTGCGAAGCAGAGACCCTGTGCATCCTAGTGTTTAGAGAAAAGAGGGGAAGGGGAAGGCAGGGGAGGAGGATGGAGAGGTGGGTGGCTTTTGGGTGTTGAACGAGGGGGGCAGGGAGGTGGAGGGGTTTTTGGTGATGGGTTAGGGCTGGGGTGGGCTGAGGCAGAGGTTTTGGGTGTTGAACGAGGGGGAAGTGGGGGTGGAATGGTCATGAGGTTAGGGGAGGGACTGGCTGAGGTGGTTTTTGTAGGTGAATTGGAAACCCTAGGTGGTTTTGGAGGTACATATGGGGAGTGGTTTAGCATGTTGGACAGGACTCTAGATCGAGCTAATATGGGTGTGAGAGGAATAGTCTTCATGGCCGATTTTATTAGCCCTGCAGAGTGTTCAGGTAGGTCTAACAGTGAAGGCGGGGATGAAAAACAAAGGGAGGTGTCCCCATTCTCTCTTGATGGAGTGGACGTGGCAGGGGGGACCCAAGACAGGTCCATGGGAGGTGGCGAGGGAGTCTTTGATGGAGGGGCAGGTGGTTGAGGAAACCCCAGCACAGGCCTGTCTGCTGTAGGCTGGGGTGAGGATGGGGGCTTCTGAGGCGCTGTAGATGAAGAAGGCGTGGCTGCTTTGGAGCAGGCTTTGGAGCAGGCTGGTGGTGGTGGTCGTGCTGCTGGTGCTGCTACTGGTGATGATGCAGCTGCTGCTGGTGATGATGCAGCTGCTGCTGGTGATGATGCAGCTGCTGCTGGTGATGATGCAGCTGCTGCTGGTGATGATGCAGCTGCATCTGATGACAGTGGAGGTGTTGAGATCCTTTGAGGCGGTGATGGTGTTGAGATCCTTCGAGGTGGTGGTGGTGTTGAGATCCTTCGAGGTGGTGGTGGTGTTGAGATCCTTCGAGGTGGTGGAGGTGCAGAGACTTTTGGAGTTGGCTTCCTCCCTTTCGATGGCTGCACGCGCTGCGCAGGCTGAGGTCTCAGGGCAAAAGAAAGGTTATCCATCAACACTTTTACTCCGTAAGTGTTCAGATGTGGCCCTTTCCCTTCAAAAAGCTCATGCCTATTCCAGAACAGATTAAAATTCTCAATGAAGGCAAGTCCTCTGCGTGAACATTCGTTGAGTAGGAAAGTATTTAGCTGATACAGACGACTGAATTTCATTTGCTTCCCGTCCACATTTGGTAGTGGGCCACTGATAACGATTGTTGTGTCCATTTTAGCAAGGTCGTCCAATAAGAGAGAATAATCCCGTTTCAACTTTTCACTTGTGTTGTCATAGACGTCTACTGCCCCCACGTGGATCAACAATCTTTTTACCCCGCCGGTCTCAGACAGAAGCCTTGGAGCCAACAGCCTTATCTCATCCACTTTGGCAGAGTGTACTGAGTGAACCTTGAGATTACGCATATTTACATTTCTTATCGCCGAATCCCCGATAAAGAGCGACTCAGCTGCATTTGACCTTGACTGAGACTGAGACTGGGACTGAGAGACTACTGCTGATTCATCTTCCAAAA